AAATAATATATCGAAGAACAAAAGTGCGTTGGTCTGAGTGACAGCGTGCCTAGACTTGAATTKCAGTGCATTGTGCTCAGATTAATTTCCATAGATCGGTACACATAATAGTATCTTTATAGAATGTATAGGTAAAATGTCTATCTTCATTGAAGTTAGATACTATACTATCGTATCGTATATATAATTATTAATAATTAATTTCACTTAAGATTTGTTAAGTATTTTATATAAGTGTTCAACATATAAATATGTTTTATTTTAATATTATTGAACGTATAAACATCGGATATTAGTGGAAGATAAAATTTTTTTTTAAATATATACTTAACATTTAATAAAGGCTTAGATTAAGTTATATATATAAATATGTTTTATCTTTTAATACAACATTATATTTATGTTATTTGTAAGATCATATTGAATACTAAATATATTTACACATGATTGTCATTTAAACATAAATTTAAAAAAAAATTGATATATCATGGCCATTGTAAATACTGTGTTTAATTTAGATACATAAAATATACTACCTACTATACGATATCTATTTTGTTTATCTTTGAACTTTGACCACGGCTCTAATATAGTAATATCTAGACAGTTTACTTTTGATGAATGATATTTTATTAAACACCTTAGGTAATAGAGATATAAATGGTTTGACTAACAAAAAAAGAAAAGAACGAAATTAATTTCCGGACGTGAAGTAGGAATATATTGTGTAAAAATGTATAATTTCTTTTTTTTTTTTGAAAAAATCATTAGGTAATTCTTCTTCTTCAATAATATTTTATCAAAATAAAGTTCATGATAAATACATAGTTATTAGTTTGATTTATTCGATTGACTGATTGTTAAAATAACAGAGATGATTATTTTATTCAATATTAATGATTAGTTATTTATACTTTCTCGTCATGTATAATAATAAGCAATAATTTCAGAATGAATTAATAAATAAACATTAATATAGATAGTTAAAAAATATTTGTTTACAAGTTTGTAATCAATTTCATTTACATACCTACTTATTGTTATAATAAAATTATATTATCAAAACAAGACATAAATCTACATAAAACTTTGAAAATATTGACAATGCAGTCCTGTGATTATTATCAAATAAAGAGTACCTACAGCTCTATAATGCTAAAAACCATCCATTATCAATGTTTGTCTATACTTTCTAATGTGTGGCCATTAAATATTTCGTTATCAGATTAATATAACTGTGAGATTTTTCGGTTCTGYATTCAAAAGTTTTTCATCAACAAATGTAATGCAAGTTAATCATCACTACTATAACCACCCATTTTTTCTTAAGTGTGATACAGGAATTATTTGTGCTACTCTGTTGGATATGATAAATTATCACATTTGAAAAACGATCTTAAAAACTTTTCTCTGTTCAAAATTTTGTCTAAATTTCAATCTCACTTTATAATAATCTATTAAATATCGCTTTGCCGTATAGCTTAAAATACGAGYTATAGATGATTTGCCTTTTAGTCTACAATATACTATTAACRTGTCACGAACTTCATAAATATACAGTATGCAAGTATTGTAAATGTTTTGAATTCAATTCACACGCGYTTCTCAGGATAATATTATTTAAAAAATAATCCATCTTTTTTTTATTCTATAAACTTACTTACATAATATAATTTTAAAAGTTTTTTAATCATTATCTCGTTAATGTCTTGGAAAATTACCTTTGCACGTCGCTGTTGAATTCTTCAGGACCGCGACAAGTGCTTCGGAACTCTGAGTGCCTGTTGCGTCCGCAACGACTGTGATATAACAAGACGACAGCGATGACGACGATATTTCGTATAACGTATAGTTTGATGTAGGTACTCGGGTGGGACGCGTGCGTGACTTTTGGTAGCGTCAACTTAGCCCCTGTGTAGAGCGTGTCGAAATGCCGGTAACCGACTGCGCGCGAAACATCGAGTCGTCCAGAGCGACGTGCCGACGTCACGGGTTTCCGTCGCTAGCGCCGTCCACCGCGAGCAGCGATTGGCACGCCGCGAACCGATCACTGGCCAGTGGCCACACCGCGAAAGATAATCAAAAATTAATTTCTCGATGATATAATGCTAATTTCACCTGACGACACCTGTCCTAACCCGGTGGTCCCCTCGGTATCGGTGTGGTCCATATTATATGTAGGTACATTTTCAACTATGCATATAATTATATGGTAGGAATTTATTTTTTAATTTTCCCACATAATGCATTTAAAGTTCATCA